CTGAGAACAATTCACTCTGCATTGATGGATAGTGACCGGCCAGTGCCAGATCAGTGTGAAACGAAACAAGACCCTCCCAATATGTAACTCCTCCAATATGTTTCGAGATATTGTACGGTGTAGTGACTGGACTCATTATGACCTCAAGGCTAGGGAGAAAATAAATAAATAAAAAATAGCGCACAACACATATCTACCATCTCCAGGGTAATCAACTTAGACATCTGCATAATTAGCCTGTCTAACACCTTAGTGACTGTATATTGCGACCGGGGTCAAATCAGATCATATGACGAACTTAACGGCCCTAGTCTCCAAGCTAAACTTATCTTATAATCGAGCACGAAGTATCCTTACTCGCCTGGACTAGTTGACCGTAGATTTAAAGCCTCTCTGCCCAGAAGTTAGTTAGGTCATCCGGCGGAGTTTAGGCGACAGGGGACCCGGGCAATAACTCCAAAGGTATCCATTGGTATGTTGGTGACCTGCATGTCGCTGCAACCGGAAAGCCACCGAGCGGGGTCGGGAGCCCGGGAGGGGGGGAGAGAGGGGAATGTCCGGCCTCCGTATATGATAGTATCTTGAATGTGAGGGGCAGATAAGTTTAGGCGACCCACCTGCTGTTCGTTGATAAGTTGATAAGCGCTGGAAGCGTGTGTATCTCGTTCCGATACTCCTGGAGGCGTACTTGGAGGTGTGGTAGTGGAAGGGGTGATTGGGTGGTGATTTACTTGTTGGCTCTACAGTGAATGGATGATGTCAGGGGTAGTAGAGTAGCTGCATTGTCTCTATGCTTAACAGGGTGGTATTGGTAAAATCCACTAGGTCTTAGATGTTGAAGACAAAACCCCACTTTATAGTGCTGTTGAGTTGTCTATATTCTTACAAGCCAGTCGCAGCACAGTTGTTCCAGATATAAATATCTTTTATATTAGCGAAAACTTTCCTCTGACCCACTTCGAGATCCACATGAAAACGCGGCAAGTATCATATGGTCGGTAGCAAATATGTAACGAGGGTATGTAGTGTCTATCATTCCCAAGTGTCCTTATCCACTATACTCAGTACTGTGCGGTGACGGTGGCTTACTAGAATGTAAGAAGATGCCCCTCGGCTTAAGCGGGGAATTCTGCGGCTATAGAATGGCTTAATCCTAGGAAATCGTATTGGGTTTGAATTTACATTGCATTCTCTTCTTGCTCTGATATAAGGAGCCGATGAGAGCTCCGGAGTGTAGCACTGGCATACACGGGCATGAATCCGTCCCTGCGATTATTCTTCGAAAATATGGAATACCTCCGGCCATTGGCTCTGCATATCACCAGAACTTCTCTTGGGTATATCAGTCAGGTTGAGCCCGATACCAAATGTTGATCAATGCTTTGGCGTAGAGACTATGGTCTTATGGAGCAGATTCCAGGTCGGCCTTAAACGAGCCCAGAAAATCACCCGAAACCTTGGCCATTTTGGTTGATCGCTCATCTGACCGTCGCTCATTGATCTTCGAGGTCTTTCCCAGCTTCAAATCCACCTTCTCGCGGAGCACCTCGTAGATAGAATGGAACTGCATCTCATTGTACACCATCATCATGCGTTGCTCGCGCATCTGGTTGACGGTCTCGAAGACGGGGTCCACATCACCAGTCACTCGGAGCAATTGTCCCGACTCAAGCTCCTGCAAGAGATGATCGAGTGCGATAAACACGCCTGTGCGGCCGACCCCTGCACTGCAGTGCACAATTAGCGGGTTATCCGGCGTGCACTTGGACGTCGATAGCGGGATTAGATGGAGCAAGGCGTCGCGATCCTCGCCCTTGAGTTCGGAGTAATCTGCCCATCTGAGGAAGAGGAAGTGCCAGACAATCTTTGACTCGGATCCAAATGTGAGCTGCAGTTTGCGAACTTCCGAGTATGATTGAACATCGACCACTGTTTCTAATAACGTGACATGTCCCAGCACCCCGTCATTCATGTCCTCCTCGGAAGCATCGTTCGCAGAATGGTCGCTTTCGTCTTCACGCAGGACCATGGTGGGACTCTCGCTGCTGAGAGGGAAATACTGGGAGCACTTCTCCCGACTAGACTCGAAGGTCTGGGTGAGCATGACGACCACGCCGACGTCCTTGGTCTCATGAAAGACCATCTGCCAGAAGTGTGAGATATTTTCGAGTTTCGGGCCCTATGTAGTAGAACGGGGTTAGAGGCAGCCTTTCACAATGAAGTAATACCGCCACACTCACCTGGGTGGCAATGTATCTTCGTTCCTCCTTGGAAAGCGAATCCGTCAACACGATGGGCGACGCATTGATGAAGTCGCACTTGCCATCGGGAACCTGCAGATGGATGCGAGAATTTGCCCACGCTTGCACGTTCAAGAATCGATTTCTCGCCTTGACCTCTGGGTCTTTCTCCAACGCCCAGCGATGCGACGGATCCTGTGCCATGATGCCTTCGTTGAATCGAGCTCTTTGGATCTCTTCGGCTTCTTCGAATCTTTTGTGAATTTCTGAGACGACACTATGAGCCACGTGACCCAACGACAGCCCGACCAAACGATCCGCCAAAAGACCGAAAGAAAGGGAAAGAAAAAAGTCAAAAGAACCAACCTTGTGGTGACTGGCACAAAAATGGAGGAACCTCATCGGTATCTCCCAATTCCAATGCTGGTCTGTCCAGCTCAAGCCCGTCCATAACTTCCACCCCCTCTTCGTCATCATCAGGCAGACTGCGTTTGTTTGCAGAAACACTGGTGCCGACCTCGATAGGATGCGCCATTTTGGAGGTCAGGTCTACTACTTCGGTGCTGGAGGCCTGTGAGGCATTGTCAAAATGACCACCTTGAGCATTGATATCGGCCCCCTTATCCGACAGTATCTGCATAGACTCGTTGATTCCGTCCTTCCTCTGTTCATCCTCGACCAGAGAGGGGCGACCTGTTAATCTTTTATCTAGGAGCTCAAAGTCTGTCGGCAAATCTTTTGGCTTTAAGAATAGCCAGTTTTCCGGCTCGCTGAGACGTGGCGGATCGTCATCGTCTTGGATGTCGAACTCAGAGGGGTTCGGTCCATCAATTATTCGTTTCCCGTCATGAGTAACTGCTACAACAGGCATATCATCCAACGGTTCTGTAAGGTGATGCTGCGGGGAGCTTTGGGTCTTTCTAGCGTCTGCATTAGTGCTGCTCTCGTCCGAACCTTCCTGAATACTCCACGTATCGTCCAGACTGTCTTGTACATATGACAACGAGAGAAACCCCAAGAACTTCAAATGCTCTGCGATATGATCTGAGAGTTGTTTGTAGGGCCGTTCCTTGATAATGGGTAGCAAGTTCGCCGGTACACAATCACAGAGAGGACATATGAAAGGGTCACGGGTTGCTATTCTTTTGTTGCGTCTCGCTCGCCCTTGGAGCTGCGATTTTGAGAGGTTTTCAGCATGTTCATCTTTGAGATGGGTTAGAAATGGCTCTTTACGATCGAATTCTAGTGGTTCGACGTGCTCAACGTCACAGTACCACATCTCCGTGTGAATCTTCTGTGCCCAGTTGATAGTATGTCGCGTATGCATATGCTCCGTCCAATCATTCTTGGATTTGAAAAACCGGGGCGGCTCTCTGCATTCTTCAGAAAGACAAACATATGGCTCGAGGTCCCGGTCGATGTGAACCCTAGTTTAACTTATTTAGTCACCTGATTGTCAAGTATTAACTGTCTACTCACTTCCACGAGTTTTCTGATAGCTTGCTGCTTTTCAATGGCTCGGAGCAGATACTGCAGGATATGTATTTCTCTCCGGATTTTGGTCGTGGTCTGGGGGGATAATAGAATGATGTGTCTTGGTTTTCTTGGACAGTAGAGCCTCGGCTTATCATAGATCCACTGGGTTTCTTGCCCCGGGAAATATTATTTCGCACAACATGAGACGGCACGGTGTCGACTGCTGTGCTTGCATATTGTCCACTATTGCCTCTATCGTGGAATATTATGCTTGGACCATCCGGTTTTCCTGGCTTATCATTTGCACCGCCCTGTACTGAAGATTCTGGATCTAACAAGTCCTTCCGTTCATACGCTAGTTTCTCATTGTGTCTCTTGAGATACTGCATAGATAACCCACGGATATGTATGGATGTGCCGATTTGGTCGCAAAGGGCTTGCCGTGCGTGGGGGAACTTCCTAATCACAAGCATACAACAGAGCGACTGTTCGTGTCCACTGCTGTGGGTAGAATATCTTGGCTGATGGCTTTGTCGTCCCGATCGGCGTATAGAAGCTCCCAAAACTATAAGTTTATTGATCGCTGTGCCGGCGGCTTTCAATCCTGGTCTGGCTATAGCGGAAAAGTCCGTCTCGTCGACTTCGTCATCAGGAGCTAAACCGGTCTTCTCCTGGGCCTCTGAAGTAATATCAAGTTCTGTGGTCCTGTTAGTTCTGAATACATTCAACCTCTGAAAAGGTGTCTCCCACACGTACCCCATTGTATGTTTCTTTCCACCATATCAAGAAGCTCGATAACCATGTCTTTTATATCCGGAAATGGAGCCAGTCGAGAATCCAGAGATGCTCTTTGTGCCGCAAATACTCCAACATATTTTGCCCAAAGATAAAAATGTCCCTTCAGCTCTTCGATAATCAAGCTTTTTTCGCTGTTGTTTTCGGCTTTTGCGAAGCTTTGCTCAAGGAGTCTGGAACATAAACGCGCGGAATCATAGATAGTAGTATGGTCCTCCATGGAATACATGCCTACTATCATATGTAAATGGATGCTTAGGATTACCAAAAAAGAGGGACAAGGATAGAGGTGTGTTTGTGTGATGAGACACTTGGAAAGGATGAGAGAGCGCCAAGGTGGGCAGCGAGGATTGGAAGAAGCGCTGATTGTTAGTTACCCCGCCCCGGCCTCACTGAACTTCTGATATTCATTCTGCTTCAGAAAGAAGGTGCTCGTTGTCCGAGCAAACTTCTTTCTAGAGCTGTTTATCGCTATCCTTTCTGGACAACATGCGGCTTTGCGATGATCCAAAAGGCTATGCACGACTATTTCTCTCAGTTCTCCCTGAATTTGTGAAAGCGCTTCCCCGTCCTCCTTCTCCCTCTGTCACCACCGGGTTGCAACACGCTGCTTCGCGGGAGAGTGAAGCATTGAAGAACTCAATCACTTTGTTGAGGATTGAATTCAGGGAAATGCAAAATACTTTCGCCGAATCATGTTGTTCTTCTAACCTCACTGTCGACGAATTCAATACCGCGAGGGATGCTTTGGAGGATGTTCTGTACTTGCTGGAGGGATTGGCAGACAGCTTGATCCCTGTTCATCAAGGTAATGAGCACCCCCATTCTCATATAACCACCTTTGTCCACTCTTTTTTGACCTCCTGTCTAGTAAATCAAGCCAAGGAACGGGAGTTGCCAAAGCTTCATTCTTTGAGTGATACTGTCCTGACATGCGAAACGTCCATATCGTTCGGACCGGCAGCAGCACGTTATCGATTAGTACACTCTCAAGCTCGGCAGTTCAATGAGACCATGAGACGAATATTTGATTCGCCAACAGTTGACACAGAGTCACAAACTCGCCCCTTTTATCATGAAGAGGAAGCCACTTTGGAGGGAGACAACTTAGCTATGGGCGAATTAATTCAGGCCAAACGGCTCTCTGATACGGCAAATGCTCTGTTCAAGTTGTTGGCAGAGGAACTCAAATCTTGCGAGCCATCCCACTCAGCTCATATTCATCTCAGTGGCTTCAGTCAACCAGAAATTGACATGCTCATGTCCCTCTGCGGCCCAAATGGGACTCGAAATTGTCATGGTGTTTCGTGGAGGGGCAGAAGCCACAACCGCCCTTCGGTGGGAAACAACTCCCCTAGGCATGGCATATGTTCTACCTTGAAACGCTATTGCAAGTTTAAAAAGCGCCTGCTAATCGAAATAAGCCAGGATGGAAGCTGGAGCAATGCTGAATCTTCCAGTGGCCGAGTGAAAGACGACGCCACAGCACCGACATTAAAACTGGCAGAGCTACTCCATGTGAGGAAAGGCACAACGATGTCTTCTGCTAGATTACTTAGAAAAGACCGCCTCCACTTGGCAAAGTGCATTACTAAATCTTCACTTTACCTCTTGGGCGGCCCGCTGTCACCAGAGGCGTGGAGAATGGAGGAAATCTATGTTACACAGGATCATGACTCCCAGACTTGTTCTTACAAGCCTTATATTCTCCAGAAATTTACAGATCAGATGTTGAGAGAGCCAAAGCGGGGCTCTGAATCACTTCTCTATCTTGGAGTTCTCCTCTGGGAGTTACTATTTGGCCGCAGAGTCACGATAATGCCTGACGACGAAGAGTACGACGATGAGTATCAAGATATTTCACTGTTCAACGCTCTGAGCCGAGAGGAAAGCGAACTGCGCGAGACTTGTGTTGAAAAACCTTTTCTAGACATCATAGCCAACTGTCTCAACATCTACCCTGAGGTCGAACTGGATGACCAGGAATTACGAAACAAGGTGTACTGGGAGGTCCTGAATCCACTCCTTAGCTATGTCGAAGCCTACCAATCCAGCATGTCGACAGCAAAAGTCTGCAGAATGGAGACTACGTGGCCCTTATTCCAAGGCTATGCGGAGGAACACTTGGACCCAAAAGCCGGAACGCCTAAATCTTCCCCAGAGTCCAGTTCACTTCCTTACAAACACCCAAAAAAAGATCTATATTCAGATAGAGGCTCTTGTCGTGATTATCATGATGTTACAGTCGAGTCCCGAAGCTCTCAATCCTTGCCAGAAGAGTCTGAAGATGAACCTTATAACGGACTTGGGAAGCGAAAGATGTCTCAAGTCCCAATGAGCGAAAGAAGCGGGAAGTCACGCCTAGAACCACAGAAATACAACATTGCCATTGTGTGTGCTCTTCCCAAGGAACATCTTGCGGTTCGTTTACTGTTCGATGAGAAACACCGCAAACCCGATATTCCCTCGGAAGACTCCAATCAATATGCATTTGGCTGTATTGGGCGTCATAATGTTGTTACTGCCTGTTTGCCTGTTGGAAACTACGGAACAAGCCCTGCGGCTCTCGTCATTGCTAATATGAAACGGACTTTCACTTCCATCAAGTATTACCTCTTGGTTGGCATTGGTGGTGGGATACCGAGCAAGCGGAATGATATACGTCTCGGAGATGTTGTGGTGAGCATCCCAGAAGGGGCCTTCCCTGGAGTCATTCAGTATGACCGTGGAAAGCGTCTAGGAAATGATGAGTTTGAAAAGACAGGTTCTCTTCCGCCTCCACCGCATGAAATACTGAATGTTATCAGCTACATGCAATCTGATCCAGGCCTCCCTCCGGAGCCACTCCAATCGTATCTCAAGGCGATCTCAGACCTTCGGCCGGAATATGGACATCCGGGAATGGAGGACAACAAATTTCTTCAGGGCAACGGGCTCCCTGTAGTTGATGAAAGTCACACATCTGAGTTGACAAACAGCCAACGAATCAACGCCAGAGATCATCCAAAGATTCACTATGGTTTAATTGCATCCGGGGATCTGGTTATAAAGAATGCGGAGTTCAGAGACCGTCTAAGTCAAAGATACAATGTACTTTGTGTCGAAATGGAAGCAGCAGGAATCGCAAATGTTGCCAGCTGTCTTGTCATCCGAGGTATTTGCGACTATGCCGACTCCAGCAAAAGCAAAGTTTGGCAAGAGTATGCTTCTGCTGCTGCTGCATCTTACGCTAAGCTACTACTTTTCTATCTCTAATGTCAACATTTCTAATTTAATTGTTTATTCCAACAAAAAACCAACGCCTTTCCACTGTGACCCACAGTGACTCTATAGTATGCACCACCGTCAAAACTCGCAGCACGCGGCTTGCATATATTATTACCAGCCGTAATCATTCCTCGGGGCCTGTAATATCCAGACTTATTCCTTGCCTGGGACACTGCAATAAAGTTGTTCCGCAGAAAACACCCTTAGAAACCGGTGGATACTTGCATACCTACTGCTTATATGAGATATGGCACAGATTGACCAAACCCGTCCATACTTACAATAGTATATAGGAGTTTAGCTGGACTTACACTCAATTGGCATGGAGAGTTTCTACCGTACAGACTATTTCAATACTTTGCGGACTCGGACTCATTTAACAAGTAGCTAGAGATCCTCTCCTGTGCATAAATCATTACCCTTGCATCGAAAAATAGGTAACGTGTACTAGAATATCAGCATCTGTATATTGTACTATTCTGAGATGGCTTCTTTCTCTCAAATTCTTGAGTATTCACTGAGAACTTCTTTTCGAGATCGGAAGCCTGTCTCTCCAGGTATGAAGTCAAGTTACTTGATGCTGTTATCATGCAGCATAGAGAGCAAATCTCTCGACTAAACGAGTCCAGGTATAATCCTTCAGTCTTATTGGATCGACTTCACAAAAGCCCGTGACAGGCTAGAAAAGGGCGCTTACAATATCGTGGAGACCTGGCTACGTCACAGCCCCTGACATACAAATCCTTTACATTGAAAGAGCCTTTACATTGAAAGAGCTTTTACAATGTATAGGCCTCTTTTTCATCTACATGTTTGAAGTCACTTGTTCTGACGCACTCTGCCAGCTTGTAAAAAGAGATTAGCTACAGGCTTTCTTTCATGAGTCTCCGTCGAGTTCATGCCCTTCACTGAAAATAAGTTCTACACCCTCTCAATGTGAAGTGAAGGCCACGCGGGTCCGACGCGGAGCCCTGAGGTCATACCCAATATTGTTACTTAGTCTTCACGCTCGGCGACGACTCACGTCCTAACACGGTAAAGAACTCATGATGGACAGCGTCATGAGTTAATTTGCTATTATTATGGCACCTGTATATAAGCTCACACGTCCCGTGTTTCCTATCTTCAATTCTGTCTCTGGGTCTTCTTGTACTGCAACATCTATCAGAATATCTCTAAACAAGGACGTGCATTTACTACCGAGATCGGGTTTTTTTTCCTGATACTACATTTCTAATGACCCAAAGACCCAAAAGAAGAAGAATACAAACGAGCCATGTGTCAGATGATTGTGTTTTGGCATTCCTGCGGCCATCTCTATGCTTCCTACCTACAGTGTCCTTTCAAAGAGCTAGACAGACATGAGGACAATTTTGCTACAGCAGCCAATGTAGATGTCAAATGCTGGGCGTGCAAGATGACTGAATGCCCCGTGACCAAACAACTGAAGACAACCCTTCTGACCGTCGAGCACCTCGAAATTATACTCGGAGAGTCGTCCACTGACCCAGGTTTCCTGGAGTCGGTCATCGGGTTCTACGCACACGGAGACCATTCCCGCTACTGGGACCAGCCAGGGCCCCGCAAAGCCGAGTACGTGTTGGACGATCCCTATATGGAGGATATGGAAGACGAGGCCTATCTAGAAGCAGCTGCCCGGACAGGGGAATTCGCAGGTAACGCGGGATTCGCCTTTGATCTGGAGATCGCGCAGGCTGCTCGAAACGATCCCCAGAACCACAATAATCTCAATTGGTTTGCGAGAGGCGCTTACTCGACATACCCTTTCTACTACCAATTGTCTGATAAGTCTGTGTTCCAGCCCCCAGGAAATGTGCCACGCCCCGAGCCCAGGGATGCCGGCGAGGTCCGACGGCCCCTCACTCTCCCAGAGGAATCTCTTCACAAGAGACCGGCATCGAATCCCAGGTACGGTAATACGACTACACTTGGTGAAGACAGTCTTCTGGCGTCTGCATTTCACCCGGATGATGGCACCTTGTCTACAGAGAACAGCCCCACGAGCGAGATACCGCAGCTAAGCAATAATACCACAGGCCCCATCCAGAACGATCCCGCCTTTGATGATTTGAACAACATGCTGGTTCCCATGTCAGCAAACGTCAATAACCCCATGTCCAATGGTGTTGAAAGCTCTGCTGAGAATAACCTCGCAGTTCACTTTCAGGGCAATGTCGTGGTGCCTACTCAAAGCGACGTCGCTGATCCCTTAGTTGACCCTGTCACTAGTTTTGTTCCTAACGCCACCACGCCTTCCTTCTCCAACGGAGCTACCATCCCTTTCCTGGAACGGTTGATTGACTCTATGCAGAATGGCACTGCGAGCCCCACCCAGGGTGAGCTCATAAGCATCCAGACGAACGCAGTTGCTCCCATTCAAGAAAACGAAAAACACATCATGGACTACGAGTATACCCCAAGGACGACCACCAACAGAATATTCAGTTACGACACAGAGCTACCAATAGAGGAAGACAATGCCAATGACCTAGCCATTGACAGCCCTAAAAACGACCCCGAATTGCCAGACCACGGACATTCTTCCACTGGGGCACAGAGAGAAGGCGAACACTTCAACAACCAGCAGCCTCAAGACCCCCAGCAGCATCAAAATGCATTTGTATCTTACCAAGCTTACTACCAATTCACCCACTCTACACCCACCTCCACAGCAGGGGCTTTTCCCGAGCTGTCCATGGACTCAACTTCTCCTGAGCTGCCGCCGACCCAGCATCCCCGTTCCCAGTTTTTTTCTGGGCTTGACGACGTTGGCGACTTCATGCTAGACAATGTTTCGATGGATGGTAATCCCCCATCTAGCGATACAATCGAGGATTGGTCAACTATCTATGACCAGGATAGTGTGGGGGATGTGATGCAGGATGACGACAGAGAAGCCGCGAATGAAGCTTACTCTCAGACTGAGGAATGATTCTCTACCATCTCTTCGATATTGATCGTTCAGCTGGAGCTTTTAATTTGGGGTGTTCCTAGTGACACACAAAGACTACCTTCATGGTTGTTGTATTTGGGACGCCCCTAGGTCGGTCCTTATGGATATGTTTGCTGGAAACCTGGCTTGTCAGTTAGTGGGGGGATTTTCTGCAACGAAGGGGAAAGGAAAAGCAATGCTCCTGCAAAGTGAATTACAGATAGAAAAAGAAGAGAAACCATCTTCAAATAACGTCCTTTCTATGACTGTATAGTCGACTTTCAAGTTGGTCCTGTCTTGCTGTATCTCCGCGTCACATACTCCAGAACAGACCCAATACTGGACATCTTCATATTTCCACCATACTTCGTCTTCTGCCGTTCATCAACACTCAATCCATACATAATAGAGCTGTATACCAATTTCACTGCCATATGCCATATATAGCAGTCTTTTATTCCTGATATCCAATGTTCCTCACTATGTTATTTCAAGCGGGGAAGCAGTCAAACAGTGCAAACACTGGTAACCAGATGAACACCCGCTTGATATGGAATCCCCCGGCTTGACCTTACCCGATTGGTAAACACCGCGGTAAACATAGACATCACCAGCCACATGTATTCTCGGCTCGTCCGAGGCCCCCCCCCCCCCAGCCCTGCGCAAAGCTCCCTCCTTTCTTACTCAACACCCCTTTGTATTCTATGATCCCCCTCAATCCAGCCTCCCTTTTATCTTGCTCCCAATCCAACGCTCGTGAGATGTGATTTGAATGCATTGCAACCCACAAAGTTCTATGCGCCACCTCTAATTGCCCATCAGCGACCGCAATGTCTTACCGTCAAGATCCTCGTCGGCGGGTCGCACCTGGCACCGGTTTCAGCTCCTCGGGGCGACGAACGGTCCTAGGATACTACGCCCCTCTAGCTTTAACTGTCAGCGTGGCGGCAATCGGCATTGCGGCGTGGATCTGGAGTGAACGCAGTGAAGATGACGATGATGAACGCGACCAACCCGGAGACGACAATCGCATCCCCGCGTCCGGCCCCGATGGGGGTGTCTACCCCCACGACACATATCCTGATGGTTTCGCCAGGGCAGAAGAGGGTGAGGGCCTCCCCGGCGACCCTGGCGTGATGGCCCGCTGGCAGGGAGCTTTGCGCCGCACCCCCAGTCCTCAGCAGATCTTCGACGGCGCAAGCAAAAAGGTCGCCGCTGGCGTGGCTGCTGCGGGAGCGTTTGTCGGCGGTGCCCTGACCTCGATCCGGGAGGAAGACCGAGGGGCCTTTGAGGACCATTCTCGGTGGTCCGAAGAGGTGGAATCTAGAAATCAGCGCAGGGACCAGCCCCCTGCCCCGTCTATGAGTGGAGCGCTCCCAAGTCGCGGAGTCGGTAGCGTCGATAGAAAGAAGACGGTAGCGATTGTGGTTTCGTCGGAGACTTTACCGGTTGACCCTGAAGATTTAACGTCCGACCATGTGGTAAGTCATCTCGTCTGTGGTCCAATCTTCTTCTCCAAGTGCCGCCTGCTGATGATTGGGACAGTCCATTCTTTCTCACCTCCCTGAACATGTAACCCCCGAGACGGCTAAAATCTTCGTCATGATCTACGCGCCCGGCCTCAAGCATGCTCCCCACCAGGGGAATGATTCCCGCCCTACATTGTCCATCGCTTCGTCATATTCGAACATTGCCCATGAAGAAGCTGCCTCTGCCGACCTCGCCAGCGGCGATTTGGCCTCTCCCGGTTCCCACCACGGCGATGAGAGCGAGGATACCTCCCCGCTTTTCAAGACCCTTTACACCCAAGCCCAGGCCATCGTTGAGAAGGAGACCACCATCATGGCGTTCAGCACTCCCGGAGGCTACGTGCACCTGGTGCGCCACATCTCGCCCGAAATTGTGTATGTCCAGGAGTCCTTGACCGGGAAAGAGGGGAGCGCCGCACAGCACATCTCTGGTTGGGTCCGACAGGTTGTGGTCGTGGTCGGTGATCGCGGTGGTCTAATCGACAGCGAGGATGAGTCGGCCCTGGCAGACAAAGGCGAGAACTGGTGGGAAAAGGAAGGCATGACGGGTATCGGCAAACGGATTGATGTTGTTGATGTGCTCCGTGTGGGCGATGATTGGCGACGAAGGGTGGCTGGTTTTGACTAAATGGCTGAAGTGATGCCCACACGGTCTCTAAATGAGACACTGTTGATATGCTGGGCTATTACTTGGATGTTTATATGACTTGTTGTTTTCTGTTTCTTATTATCTTTACCTGACGATCGATTTGATTCCCCTTAATGAAATGTGTATACTCGCGTGATGCGTGCATTCATGGATGATTGTGTAACTTCTACTTTTTGCAGAAAGGAATCGTGTATATAAACAAATGTACATCATTGAGCTCCACCAACCTTTGAGCCTTTGTCTACCTCTTTATTCCATCCTCATTCATCCAGAACTGAATGACTACATGTCATGTGATAAGGCTCCCCAGATGCCGCTAAACCCCATGCAGGTATCACGTGCCCCGACCTCCTTCACGCCCGCGGCTTGGCATCACCAAACTCCCTCTGACGAGCCACCGCAGTCGACGGGAATCAGCTTCGCCGCATCTCCCCTGCACTCCTTCGCAGGTTTTTGGTCTATGGCCGTCCGTGTCCTCTTTTTCTAGCGGCTCCGGGCTTGGTGCAAATTTTCGATTCAGCTCCGGCGTGTTTGTTGCGGCGCGGTGACACCCTCAGCTCCCCACATGTCTCGCGCCCCGGTCATATCATCCACGATTTCCGGAGTTCGGCTTCCCACCATCGTCATCCGATCTGCCCTTCCGAGAAGTCGCATCCGCGAGATACCGACTGTAATCGCGTCGCACACCCTCTACCGGCAACATGGCGACCGCGATCTCTAATCATACCTCTCACCCGCCGAAGATGAAGCGACCGCCCCCGCCTTTTCCCCAGACGGGAGTGAATGGCGTCAAGGCTCAGCAGTCCTCGTCCCCGCAGCCTGCCTCGAAACAGCTTCCGGGTTCGAGTCATACCACCTCCGCTAGCTCTACCGGGCCACCGATTACAAACGGCGCCAATGGCGCCGTCGATTCGAAAGGTGCCCCCGGCAAGGGCCCCCTGAATAAATCGAGGAAGGATGCGCAGAAGGCGAATGATCCAGCCGCGCGGATACCAAAGCATTTGGTAAAACCATTGTCAACTGACATTGAGCGTCGGCTGGGCAAGAAGTGCCCCGAGCCTTATGGTGAGACCTCGCAATGCTGTGTGCGGAGAACCCCTGTTTACTGACACTCGCGCGCCCGTCAAAAGTCAAAACAACTTCCTATATCCTTAAGAAATTCTCCAAATGTCCGCCATCCCTTATCGTACACCTACATCCGACACATTTTCGTTTCGAGCAGCAGGACGGAAGCTTTCCCTACAATTCCGAAATGAAAGTCATCATTGAGCATATCCGTGCTGGGACCGTTCCGCACGATATGATGGAGGAGCTGCTGCGGGCTAATGTTCGCTTTTACGAAGGTGATTCCACATCATATGGACGACGAGCTGTGGACTGTGACTGATTCTTTCTTTTTTCTTTGTTAGGCTGTCTCATTGTTCGTGTAGTCGATCACAAGTCGGCGGTAGCGCAGGCGAGGAAATCGGCCGCAAAGTCATCGAACGAGAACAACGCCCCCTTTTCAATCCACAACTACAACGAGCATATTACTCCGTCGGCCTTTGTACCATACCCGAAGCAGAACCAATTGACTTCGGAGAAATCAAGCTCGAAAGAACCCGCGTCAAACCAGTCCGGCGTCAAGGCTAATGGGGATCCGTCGACTTCTCCCGCCGCAAGAAATGAGTCAACTTCTACCCAGCGAAACCAGCCTCCTCCGAAGCCTCGTGTTTTCACCACTGTCCTTCACCCTACCCCCCGTTCTTTGCAGGCAGAGCTCACTTTGCTTGCCACTACACCCGATCCACGAGCCGCGAAGCAGACCAATCAAAGTTCGGCGACCTCTGCTCCGGGAGCGGCATCTGGCCAGACCGACCGCGGGCATGTCGCAAAGAAACAGAAAATGCTGGTTGAGCCGTCGGAGCTCGTGGAATGCGAATCTAAGCTTACGAGGGCGCTGGCACCGCCCCTCTTCCTGGAACCTGTTAATAGCTTTGATGCTGTTCAAGATCTCCTGAAATACATGGAAAGCCCTCTGCATCGCGATCCGCCACCGTCACCGAAGAGGAGAAAGAGGACTGTGGCCGAGCTTGCCGCAGACGAGGCGTTGGCCGCCGAAGAAGAACGATTTATGCTTATCATGGATGATCGACTGGAGCCTACGACGTCAGGAGGCGCCGGTGCGACGAAATCTACTGTTGATGAGGCCGGTGGTGGTGCGCCTTTCGAACCGCGCTTTTCGAGATTCAAGACCTTGGAGAATATCCGCATGCAGCACGAGGAGAAGGCGAAACGCGAACACGAAAACAAGCTCAAACAGGAGATGGTCAAGAGACAGCAGCAGCAGGAGCAGGAGCGAGAACGACGTCGCCTCATGGAACAACGACAAGCGGAAGAGCATGCCAAGGAAGAAACTCGAAGGCAACAGTTGGCTGCCCAGCAGGCACAGGCACAGCTTGCAGCAACCCAGCAACAAAATCGGCACATCATGGCACAAGCCAACGGGGTCAGTCAAGGGCCGCAGTCCTCGCCAGTGGTCCGCCACCAAACACCCCACAATACCTCATCGCCTCTTGTTAGCGTTCCCATGAGTATGACACCGTCGATGCAGGGTGCGGGGAGTCCACCGAGACCGCCGTCTGCTCTACAGCATGCTCACCCGAACGTCATGAGCCACCCCATGGCAGCTTCCCGAAGTCAACAAGGACAGAGCCGTCACGGAACTCCGCAGATGACCCAGGGCACGCCAGCCATGTCTCATGCGACACCCATCATGCGTAATGTAACGCCTACCCAACGCATGAGCCACGCCAGCCCGAACCGTCCATCGATGGCCCCGACCCCCGTTGTGAACCAGTCGATGATGGGGACTCCGCAAATGGCTGGTGGGATGGGCCTTACGCCTCAGCAGCAGCAGATATTGATGCAGCAGAGACAACAAATGCTAGCTCAGCAGGGCCAGCTGACACCGCAGCAGTTGGCTCAACTGCAAGCTAGCGCCCATGCCCAACAAAATATCCAATCCCACCAGCACAACATGATCCAGGCTCAACACCATAATCAGCAGATGCAGCAGCAAAAGGTTCAGAATCCGCAGGCATACCAAGCTCAGTTGATGCGGGCGCAGCTTGCGCAAATGCAGATTGTCCAACAACAGCAACAGCAGCAACAGCAACAGCAACAACCGCAACAACCGCAGGCGCAACCTCACCCCCAACCTCAACCACAACCACAGCCGCAGGCCCCACAGCCGCAACAAGGTCAAATGCACCAGGCCAGCCCGCAGTTGAACTCTCAGCAACAGATGTTAATGGCAGCTGCTCAAGCCAACGGAGGCCAAATTCCACAGCATCTCCAAGGAATCAACAGGGCCCAGGGCGCCATGGCCCAACGGTACAACCACCTTTACCAGCAGCGCTTACTGCAGTTACGGCACAGCATGGCGAACCGTCTCATGGCACAATTCGGGCCTCCTACGCAATATCCACCGAACGTCTCACACCAGTACCAGGTTGGGCTGGAACAGACAGCCAAGACATGGATCCAGGAGATCATCCGACGCGAACGAGAAATGGCCCAGCAACAACGAGCCAATCAGGCTGCGGCCGTCCAGGCCCAGGCGATGCAGCAACAGCATCAGCAAAACATGATGCAGGGCGGCATGGGCAAGTAGACGTGACATCTCTTGAACTCGTACCCCCGCCACATGCACACTTCCATCCTTCACCTCTATGCCTATCCTTCTTGTTCTATCTATTTAGACATCACATCACGATCGACAGCGAACTGGACTCAACAGGGTCCCAACTTCTTCACTTCATTGGGCTATGTACACGGGACTATGTGTTTTGCTATAAAACAGGGCGGCGTTTAACAAACGATCGATCGACACTCGATCTTGGAGTTCATCATTTTCCTCCCTTCAATTTGCTTTTCTTCATTCCATTCTACCCTATCCTATTCTATTTTATTCATTTTTTACGTTTTGTACCACTTGGGAAGCGTGGGTTCGGTTGGCTGGGATAGCCTGGTTGGTCGGTCGGTCGGTCGGTTGGTAGGTTTTGTTAGCTGGCTGATTACTTACTTACTTACTTACTCGCTTACTTACTCACTTATTGCTTGCTTGCTTTGCTTCGCTTGAATTTCAAGCCCGGGAATGGAGAGCAAGAAACAGACTTGATACCATTTTGTACAGATGCTCCCCCGTTTTGCGTTGACTTTTGTTGGCAGATTTTGCCTTCACATTTTTGTCGTTATAATGAGATTTGATTAGTTTTTCTTTATTATTGATTGTCTGGTATTTGGTGCTGTAGGGGCGCTATTCTGAATATATCATTTCTTTGACTGGATTTTGTAGTGTTGTGATGTATGTTGTAGTGTTGTAGAGTTTGTTTTGGGCTCTTTTGTTTGGGCTTATTGTGGATGTGTAGTAAATATCCAAAATCCCCGGCTATAGTCACTGTTATAATTACTAGTAGATGGTATAGGATTACTCCTTATTATAAGGCATGGTTTAATATAGCCGTTGTGGAATGATTTTCCGAGAATAGGGGTTGTATATATATATATACCCCTGATCCTATCTGGACAGGTATATACACCACAGACATTACTCTAAACAGATATATCGGAGCAGAACAACTACAGCGATGCACGATACGAATAGACCTAGTGTATATCATGATCTGATCAAATAGAACCGAAGAAAATTGATTATCTAGAGTCATGGCGTCGAATACATATCCCTAACACTCACTTCGGAGCTGACTGACTATACCAGTCTTAATACCTATGTCGAATTTACTAGAAACCTATTCACTCTCTGAAAGAGACAATTCAATTACTATAGTAGAGCTCTAGATCTTTTGGGTAACAGGTAAGATTGCTTCTACGCCCCTAAATCTGCATGGTACTCGACATCCTGGATGTAGCTGGTGTATATAACTACACTACCATATGTGCCATTCTAGATATTATCATGCTAGATATTTCCCATGGTAGATATTTACTACTGCTGCTAAATATCTTGATCCATCATAGAAGCCGTTCGAGCTCCTTTCCTTAAACTACATATCCATCGATCAACATCAGCTCGTCCAACAATTCGCTATCATCTCACCTCCAGTTAAAAACCCCAGAAGAGAGCAGCAGCTTCTGCCTCCTCCACCTCCACCTCCACCACCATAAACTCCCAATACAACCAAATAAGAAACTCACGCACTCGCTCACCGACTACTCAAGTCAGCGAGCAAGTGACCAACCAGCCAACTATGGCCTAGACTAGCCTACCTACCTATCTAGGTAGGTAGTTGACTATCCAATTACTAACAAAAACGACCTAGATTCTTCGGTGCAACACGCCACCGCATTTCCCAGTACAAAGATAGACAGACAGACAGACAGTCAACCAACCATCCAGTAAGCCAGCGAGTCAACCAGTCCAACCAATCTCAAACGAATCGCGCTCAACATGGCATGCGTGTGTGCGTGCGTTCGTGCGTTCGTTCATGCGCGCGTACATACTTGGATCTCCGTCGCATGTTACATGCATATCGAACTATGTATGGCGACCGTCGTGTTGCATCTGGAGGACTGTCTGCCTGCCAGCCTGCCAGCCACTGTTTTGTTTTCTTCTACCTGCAGTAATGGCTGGCCTCAGTGAGTGGTTGTGACTATCCTTTACTATTACTGGTACTGGGACTGGGACTGTTGCTAATGTGGTCTTTACGAGGTTATGTGACGCTACATGACTACACAACTACTGCAGACCTAGACAGTCAGTTCCACACCACTATTTCCACACTGTATACATAATATAACCAGCATATACGGAGTACACAAACATAACAAAGACAAAAAGAGCAGAGACCACCATTACCTGCGGGAATAATCTCCAACACAGCCCACACCTAATGACACAAACCCATTATCTACCTACCCACCGATGCAAGAAGGTGGGCTCGCCGTGCTGCTCTTTTTTTAGGCCGTCCTTCTCATTCATTTCATTTCATTCCAATGCGAGCTAGACGCAGAGGACCCGCTTGTGGATGATGGTGGTTCCAGAGGACTGACTCACCTCTACTTCCCGGTCCCAACCACCTCAACCCCAATGCTATCTGGTGTTGTTCTGAGAAGGAATGGTTTCACTTTCTCGGGGAGAAAAAAAAAAAACGGAACTAGCTATTTGTTGATGAGACAATACGGTAGGTATGTATGTATGTATGTATGTATGTATCCTCCGAACAAGCTCGATCCTATTACGGATACAATAGGCTAATATCCGCGTGAGTCAATCGACAAAACAGTCGAAGCCGAGAAAGCCCCAAACAAACGACTAGATTAGCTTAAATCGGCGTGTCTACCTAGGTATTCAGTACCCAGCTAGTTCGCAGTCATTAGTGAGGTTAGGTAGGTATTCAAAAATAAATAAAACAAACTGACGTATTGGAGAATGGGAGTACTACCACCTGATGGACGGTCACGCAAGGACGCAATGACCAGCAGTTAGTTCGTTACTCCAGCGTTTGATGTATTTATTTATTATTATCATAATAACCCATTAATTTATCCTATTTTTATTTTTTCTTTCTTAGGAAGAAGAGTCCACAGGCCGTTCGTTGCCTATCCACACCCCCAACGGGGGAAAAGATAAGCATGGACGCACGAGACGTAGAATTTAGGATTGGGGGGCGGTGATGATTATTTTCCAGGATGATCCATGTTACCTTCCACCGAGTAGGTAGACAGATTGATCTGATTTGGTCTGGGTATTGTTCCACCCCCACACACCGATGGGCTCCAAGAACCGGGAATGGAGATGCAATGCAATGCAACCCAAATCAATGATATTGATTCGAGCTTGAAAGACGCAGGCTGACTGCCACGGTGGCGAGAAGGGACGAAAAACAAAACAAAAAAATGAATAAAAACAGCACCACCTCCCGGGGACGCAAGGGGGTGGTTAGGTGGGAGGTGGGAGGGGAAAAGCCAAAGGCACAGATTGCGCCCGCCTTCGAATCTGGCTGGCTGGTTCTAGGGTAGGGTGGTAGGGTAGGAAGTAGAAGGCCTGAGGTAATTTGCCTTTACCTGCAACAGATACCTACTGGTAAGTGGCTCATTGGGCCCCGCCGTTCGTGCCCTGCATAAACATCGACGAGATAGGAATAGGTCGAAGCATGGGAGAGGAAGCTGCATCGCAGGTGAGACATGGGAGAGTTATTGAGAGAGGAAGGGGGGTTCGTCCTCTGATCTCGGTGTAGATCTTGATGGAAATCATCCGAGTCGCCCCCTATATTGATTTTTTAATGGCCGTTAATCCGCCTAGAAGGATGTTCTCGACTCCGAGAACTTCCAAAACAGAAAAGTGTAAAGCCTGTTTTATGCACGACTATTGATCAACGTAACCCCAAGAACTCTATCCCTGTACGTACCTGCAGCAAAAAGGTAGGGAAACAATGAAGACAAAAATAAACGAGAGAACCAAAGAATAAGATATGGACTAATGTCGGAATTTCCATATTCAGTCTGCAGTCCCACACACCACCTCCCTGCTTGTTAGGACTAGAGATTAGTAGATCGCGCAACTTCGTCAATTAGGATAGGATGATTTTCCATTTGTCACCGGGCAACTGCTCGAGGCTACTAAGACTTGCTATTATCAGTCAATGCATTGTGTAGGATACGTGATCTCTGAAAACTGGAAGGCTGGTAGGTAGACAGTGGCTGTTCATGCCTCGTTAATTCCTAGCTGCTGTTCTTCGATCGGTCTATACAGACCATTCGCTCTGCAATGGATGTTTGGCACTAAGTGTCGTTAAAGCGAGGAGATCCGTCATCAGATCCCTATTTTAGCAGCGTTGGTTCCTGGTGTTGTACGTATCGTGCCTGGTCGGCCCATTATTTGGAGACGATCGGACAAATGTACGGCTGGTAGGGACTCTTTTCTCCAAAGCCCCCCCCCCAATGTCTTACAGGCAATAGAAGGAAATTGACAGATAGGTTCATCTGAGGGTGGGGGAGAAACTAGCATTCAATTAGATAGCTTGGTCCTGCGTAGACGTAGACTCATATCGACTGAAATCCCATAGTTGGCATGGATCCCGACGCAGGAACTAGACCGACTGGCGCTATGCATGATCTCCGTTTCCCGTTTCTGGTTGATATGCTCTTTTGTCGTCAATGATGATGACTACCATTGGTGCTTCGTCAAACCGTTGGGATTCAATAGTTCGTGGATAATGGTCGTTCAAGACACCCCTCGAAAGGTCACGTCATCCCAGAAAAGTACCCAGAAGCTCGGCACTTCTTAGGGACTGGTTTCCCTTGCTATAGCTGATCAATATATTGATTGGAAGGGGGCACCTACCTATACTAGAACGCTTGAAACAAGATTCACTTATGCTCTTGGCGACCCCGCCCATGGAGTTTAAACAAGGAACAGAAAGGAAGCAAAGTAATATATCGACATACAACTAGGGGGAAATCCGGGGATGGATTTAATTGTCCGGCTGATCCTTGCTGCATACAGGGCCCGTGTTGCAGGGGCTTTGCTTCCAGGTTCGTAAGTAATCAATCTATCTGGTGGCGGGCCTGTTTTCCTCCTGGAGATGAGATGAGCGGGGTATTTATTGGTTTCTTGGCGATTTGGGGACAAACAAGGGCAGTTGGTCCTGG